CTAAAAAAAAAAAAAAAAAAAAATCACTGAACTGTACACTTGAAAAGGGTGAATTATATGATATGCAAAATACGCCTCAGTGAAGTTATTAGGAAAAAAAAGAAATCCAAATCAAAACCATACTGAAATACTACTTTTAATCTACTGTATTAGCAAAGATAAAAACCTGCCGTAACCTACCAAGGACATTGGCGATGGGAGGATAAACTAGCCAAGCTATAGTAAGAAAGATCTGGCCTAAGTTACAATTACACATACCCTTTGACTCAACAATTCCACTTTTAGGAACTTATACTACATTTATATTCACACGTATGCAGAATAATGGATATTATTCGATCGTAGTATTATTTTAAACAGTAAGATTAGAAGCAAACGTCCATTAATAAGGTATCGGTTTAATAAATTATGACTCATACATATAATTGGAATACTATGCTGGATATACTACCACGAGCATGTAAAAAAAGCTGGAAAAAATAGAACAAGGAAGCTCTTCATATACTCATGCGGGCCAATCTTCAACACAGATTAATAAGTGCAAACAGTATGTGACAATATATATTTTAAAGGGGAGGGGGCAGAATATATATATCCATTGCCCAAAGATGTATAAAAATATCTCTGGAAGGATAGGCAAGAAATGGATGCCACCAGTTGCCTGTAAGGAGGGAAACTACAGGATTGGAAGAGAATAAAAAGCTGTTTTCATCATATATCCTTTTGTATCTTCTAAATTTTGCATCAGTGAACTGCCATTATCTATTCCCAAAATAAATAATATTGGGCTAAGAGAAAAAAATTGAAAACTGCACGATAAAGGGAACTTATATCTAACTTGTGGTTAGAAAAGTTAATATAACTAAAATTAAAATAGAAAAAAAAATTTAGAGAAGTCCAAAACCCCCGCAAAGTTGAACTATATTTCAAAAAATAACAAAAAAGCATTTCAGTCTTGGATTCGTTTTATGACAAACACTTTGAAAATTTAAGACCAGGTTATTATAAAACTACAACTCAGTTAATGGAGACAATCATTCTTTTTTAGACAACTTAAATTCATAATGAAATAATACTGTGCTATTCTATTATACCTGTGAAGCCGTAGGAGCTTAAAAACTATATTCATTCCTTTAATCCCTACCATTGTGCTTTTTCCTGCTGACCGTTATTTTGTATTCACCTACTATCAATTTCTCCCTTTAATATACTTACTTTACCACAGCAACCTTCTTCCTCTCCCCTACCTTCCATCCAAAAGGGCTGATTATAATAATTCTTTGCTACTCACTGATTTTTTTGTATTCACTTGCCAATTGTTTTGAAACACTGTAGATTTGCTCTTAGTACAAACCAATGTGCTAGACATTCTCACTGATACAGTTAGAGAGGCACATAAAAGGAAACCAACAGTTGGATATACTCATATATTGTAAAGTATGATACACACACACACACACACACACACACACACACACACGCTGTTACAGTTATACACAAGCTATAGTGAATCCAAGGTAGGAAGGGCTCCCGAATTCAAGTTAGAGACAATAAGAAAACATCAGAGAGGGCCGGCTGAGAGGCTCGTTGGTTAGGAGTTGGCTTGGGACGCCAGCTCTGAGCAGCAGGGCCCCAGTTCAGGTCCT